GTCACATTATTATCCTTAAAAAATAAATCCATATGAGAGGGTAGTATGCAAAATGACTTGTCCCATTTACCACTCAAGTGAATATCATATTACATGGAAGAAAGTCCCCATAACTCTTATTTTATTGCAAGATGAGATTATTTTTTTATAAATAACCACACTGTAATTCTTTATAAAGAGAGTAATCATTATCCTTTGATGTTTCTTTCTAACTAGAATTTAGAATCCTCACCTATTCTAATAGTCATATTCTCATATATTATTTGTTCATTCCACTGTAGATTTGGGCTACTGCCATTTCAATCACCAAGACTTCAATGTGACCATGATTTTTCTTACACATATCATTTAGTAAACATTACATAGCATTTTAGGATAAATCTAGGAATGGAATTTCTGGGCTATAGGATATACAGATCCTCATTAGTAGTAAACAACAGCATAGTATTTCTCTTCCAACAGTGTGAGTCCTAGACTCTTCATCTCCTACTTTTTGAGAGCGTATAAACAAATCACAAAACTTATTATATGATCATATGCACATAACTGTTGAGTCTTTTTGGCCTGCTCCTATGCGTTTTCTCCTTTGCCCTCCTGATTGACTGACTGTCTAGAGACCTGTACAATTTCTTTTTTTGGGGGGGGGGGGAGGTCCGGTTGTGGGGCCTGAACTCTGGGCCTGGGCATTGTTCCTCAGCTCTTTAGCTCAAGGCTTGAGCCTTGAGCTCAAGGCTCTACCACTTGAGCCAGAGCGCCACTTCCAGCTTTTTTCTTTTTGTTCATGTGGTGCAGAGGAATTGAACCCAGGGCCTCACACATGCAAGGCAAGTGCTCTACCACTGAGCCACCTTCCCAGCGCCTACAAAAGACTCCACATAGAGCTCCCCTATGACCTAGCAATCCCACTTTTGGGCATTTACCCAAATGTTCACAAACAAGACCACACTAAAGCTACCAGTATGACTGTGTTTATTGCAGCATTATTTACTATAGCTAAGATATGGAACCAACCCAGATGCCCCTCAGTAGATGAATGGATCAAGAAAATGTGGTATATGTACACAATGGAATTCTATGCCTCCATCAGAAAGAATGACATTGCCCCATTTGTTAGAAAATGGAAAGCCTTGGAAAAAATTATATTGCATGAAGTGAGCCAGGCCCAAAGAAACATAGGTCCCATGGCTTCCCTTATTTGCAATATCTAGTATATGTCTGAGTCAAGCAGAAGAGGTCAGATAAGTTGATGTTAGGGAAATGAACCCTTAGATATGTATTCAAATGTTTTTTTTTCTTTCATGCGATTGTTTCTAGCACATTATAATAAGATTATTTCTTTGTTGCTTTGTATGTCCCTCCCCCACAGTATAACCCCTGTTTCACTGTATTTGATGTTGGTATAATTTGTGGAAGGGAAGGGGAAAAACAAATCGTTTAAATAGGGATATAGGTGGACCCATTGCAACAATGAGATGTACAAGTTGTTATGTCCAAAACGAACTTTACAACTTTGGTGAGGGCAGGGAGGGTTGGGTGGGGGAGCAGGGGGAGGATGGGAAGGGATGGTAAGGGGAAGCAAAGGAGGAGGCTACAATGCTTGATAAGAAATGTACTCATTATCTTGCCCATGCAATTGTAACCCCTCTGTACAGTATTTTCACAATAAAAAAAAAGATGATGTTAAGCGAAATGTACCCCAAGATAGGGACAAAAAGAAATAGCTTACCATAAGGAGGCTAACACAGAGAAAAGAAGCTAGAGCAATAATCTCAGAGCATAGCTTGCCATTGGTGTTATTTTTTTCTACCGACTTTCTGCTCTTGTGAAAGCCCCAGTTGCCTGCTCCACATTTCCCCTCAGCCTCTTCTCAACTACTCCAGTTGCTACTGGAGCCCACCCCATCTACTTTTTGGGAGGCTGATTCTGACTTTGGTAACAGTAGTAAGAGAAATAATCAATCAACATGTCCTCCTCCTCTAAATTATATATATATATATTCCTGCTCATGCTGGCTGGTGATCCACAAATCGAGGCTTTCTGGGGGTATTTTAGAAAAATGTACCTCTCATTCTTTTGGGGGAGGGTTTTGGTAGTTCAGCTGTATATGTTCATGAACGTAAACAAGGAGACATAGAGGTAAAGAATTGTGATGTGTGACCACATGGTCAAATGAAGTATGGGTGGATCTGATGAGAGAGTGCAGAGGAGGTGCCCCAGACAACCTAAGGCTTTGAATATGTAAGAAGCTGAGTTCAAGTATCCCGTCCTGCAGCCATCCAACTCAGTCTGCTGACAATGCTTCCCAATGCAGATTAACTTACATTTAACCTCATAATAAAATTCATTTTTCCTGATCAAACTCCACATTTATTTCATTAAATAGATCATCGGTAGGCATTATTAACCATCAATAATCTGCATTTTCACATAATGAAATATATATTTCTGATCAATGATTTGGTCAAATAGGCATGTTAACAGCTGTTAGTACGTATGAAAAAAAACAAAAAAAATCGAACTACTTGCAAACTAAGAAAGTCATTCTGAGTAAGACAAGTCACCCTCAGAATATTACTTGCCTGGCTTGCTTCTACCCTCACTGGGAATTCACACTCATGTGCTCACACTCAAGTAGAACACACCTTTCTCTAGGCCCCTGCACAGTTCACGTGGGCATCCTTGAGGAGTGGTACATAATGCCACAGACCATGTCCCACAGATAGGATTGGGGACAAGGACCTCCAGAGCCCTATGCAACAATGACAAAGTCCTCCAGTTCTAGCATGCAGAATGGAAACCCCACCCATGGTCCCATGCCAAGTTCCCTGAGCTCTCTGGAGACAGAAGTTCCCTCCACTTCCCTGCTTCTAAACTTGCACCAACGCCATCCTTCCTTCCTCAGAGGCTGGAGGGGCCTTGAAAAATGCAACAAGGTATGTACCTTGTTCCTGCCAGTGTGTTGCTTTCTAAACAGAGGCAGTGTTAAGTGAGGCAGCACATCACCTCAGTTAAGTTACATTGCAAGCTGTGTCTCATGCCTCACAGGAGCAAACACACCGAAGACATCTGCAGCGGTCAGCTTATGAAATTCCAATGCTGCTAACTTCATGTTGTAGGCGCCGTATCTTTTTATTGGTCTCAGTCATAAACTAATTTATGCTCCTAAGGGGAAAAGAAGCAGGAGTGATGGTTTCTTTTTATTGTTTGGTGAATGTGCAAGAGTAGCCTCTTTAGTCACAATTTCCTTCCAAATCCTTGCAGCAGGATGGTGATATATTTTTGTCTTTAGGAAATCCAAGTATATACTGGCAAGTATAACTGTGACCCCTTAACTGTGGAAAGAGGATAATTACAGGAATGTCAGTGTCTTAAAGATCAAATAGGATTAGTATTTAAGCTTTTAAAGTTACTTCCATAACATGATGAAGAAGAGTCTGTACAAATGATCAGTTACAGGTACAGTAGCCACCCTGTGTTGGTGCCACCCCAGATTCCTCTGGATGGGGTCAGATCCCCAAGCTTCATGATTATATTACAACAGGCTTATGTGTATCAAAATTTGAATAACTAAGAGAAAATAATTGAAGTAAAAAAATTGGCTTGAGAAATAGATATATATTTAGGATACGTAGCAATTTGGTAGTTAACAAGATTCATCGCATAACATCTGTTTAGGAAAATCAAATGGGGTAAAAAACTGTGTTGCAAATGTGTCATTTTAAATTTTTCATTCTAAGCCGGAAGCAGGTGGCTCACACCTGTAATCCTAGCTACATAGGAGGCTGAGATCTGAGGATCAAAGTTTGAAGCCAGCCTGGGCAGGAAAATCCTGGACATTCTTATCTCCAATTAACTACCAGTAAATCAGAAGTGGAGCTGTGGCTTGAAGTGGTAGAGCGCTAGCCTTGAGCAGAAGAGCTCAGGGACAGAGCTCAGGCCTGTTAGTTCAAGCCCCAGGAAGGGGAAAAAAATTTTCATTCTAAGTCACAGATTCACTGAACACAGATAAAAATGAAAATGGCAGCTCACTATCTCTAGATCTGAGAGGAGGGAGGACAGATTTGGAAGTTGAGGAAAGGTTGAAGAAAGTGGATGGATTTGGAAAGAAGATGGATTTTTGATCCATCTGCCAGCTGTCTAGCTTCCATCTCAGAAAGTTCTAACAGATGTAGGAACACAAGACTAAAGTACAGGACATCAGATGCCTCTCCAATGAGTCCAGTCAGTAACTAAATTACAGGAGATAATGTGAGTTTTCCATTGGACACAACAGGTAACTGACTTCTATGATTGTTGGCTATCAATCATCTGAGTTAAATTCCAGTGTAGGAACCTGTGCTGTAATAAAGGGTGACTTAAAGTCTGCAACTACATTTTTCTTCCCAGTACCAGGTTCCTAACAGCTAAAGATAAATGAACCGCCCTTTCCTGCAGTGCCAGTAAAGGGGGAAAAACACAAATACACACACCCTGGGGGAAACAAAGGCAGCAAGACTGAGCTCCACAGTTCCGTTGACGGGGGAGAGGCCTGCGTGGCAGTCTGTGGGAGTGAATCTAATTATCACTCTCTTACTTTCATTAATAGGTTGGAGCAGGCTAACTTTTATAAGGAAGAAGAGGGAGACATGCCTGAATTCTTAGGCTACGCTATGATAATTTAAGCAGCATGTTCACCAAAATAGCTTTTTTGTTAATAAGTTCTTCATGAGGCTGTGCAGGTGGGTGGACGAACGTCAAAAGCAGGAAAGGCAAAAATAAATGATAGCACATGGCATATTTATAGACTAAAGGGCAGAGCGTTCTGGAAAAGTGGAGGGAACTCTTTAATACATTCTGGTTTCCATTAGTTATTCTAACCACTAGGTGATGTTCTCAGTTTCTTTCATTCCTATAATCCTGCTTAGATTCTCTGCCTTTTCTACCAGTGTTTGTGGTGAAAGTCAACTTAGATATAATCTCTGTATTTCTTGACCAAGAGTTTCATTTGTTTATTTTCGTAGCTTTACTAGCCAAAAATCAGATGATGACTATGAAGATTATGCTTCTAATAAAACGTGGGTCTTGACTCCAAAGGTCCCTGAGGGAGATGTGACTGTCATTTTAAACAACCTGCTGGAAGGGTATGACAATAAACTTCGACCTGACATAGGAGGTACGTCAAAATCCTTCCTGGTAAGCCACAGAGAGGGCACATATTCTTAGAAGAAGACATTAGCATACTTCACAAACTAGGAAGGCATACGTTCTACTATGTGTTGTCAAAATAAATATACAAGGAGCACTCAAGACTAGGAGCACAAGAGCTATTAATAAACTTAACATGAAGAAATAAGTGTTAAGTAAAGCTAAAAATGCAAATTTTCCTACATATTACAATGGCTATTTAAAAAGGGACAATTTCTCATGAAGCATAATTTAAAATAAAATAGAAAGTAATAGTAGAGACTAGAGAGGCAATATTGATTACCTAGTGCTTTGTAACAGTCGCAGCATTGCTGTGCCAAGAACGTCAGAACTGGTCTAGCACTTCACAGGGGAAATAGGCTTGTCTACGCTGGGGTTGCTCTTTGAGCGTGAATACTCTTAAGTAGCTCTCATTCTACTTGTGGGAGCAGTCTACTGTCTAGGAGGATCTGTCTCATGGCAGAAAACAAGAATGAGAGAAAGTAAATACCCAGAGGCCTAGTGTCTAGGCTTAGAACTAGACAGTCACCTTTGTACATCATCAGCCAAAAATGTCTGACTATGCCCAGATGTTAAGAGACATCAGCAGAGCCTCACGGGGGAGGGTGTGGGTGTCAGCATTCTTGAAAAATTCCATCTGCCACAGTTCGGACATGCAACCTTCAAGGAAAAAGAATAAGGAGGAAAAAAAGGTTCTTTGTGCACTAAAGACCAGAATGACAGGAGGGATCTTTCATTAAGTGTTAAATTAACATGGAACACGTCCATTGGCTCTTGGATGGCACACTGCAGATTCTACCCAATAGAAAGGTGCATACCAGCCTCCACAGAGCTCACTCATGACCTGTGCGACTCAGCATCCAGGAAGTCATCATGGTAGATGGCACAGTTGGTGTATTTGGTGCTAGCCAGATGCCCCTGGAGGTAAAGTGTCCCTGCAGATGAGAAACAGGACGAATGTCTCCAAAGCAATGTATAGTTCACACTGCTCGTTATGTCTGTGTCAAATTTCTGATGCATAGATTTTTTGTCTGGGCCCTGAAGTAATTATTTTCTATGTGGGTCAAGTCAGGTTGCAAGGTACAAATAGATTCAAGAGCTTGCTGGGAAAGTAGTATAATTAAAGGGATCTGAGGAAAGAAGGAAGAAAAGCTCAGAGCACTGTCTTCTCATTTCTTCATTTTAATGTAAGTTAAAAAGGATAGATGGTTTGAAAGCTGTACTGTGCTTGTTTATTGCAATTGCCTGCTTAAAAGAATTGCTTCACAGGGCACTGGTGGCTCACAACATTTGTAATCCTAGTGACTCAGGAGGCTGAGGTCTGAGGATTGCAGTTCAAAGCTAACCCTGGGCAGAAAAGTCCTTGAGACTCTTACCTCCAGCTAACAATGAGAAAAACAGAAGTGGCAGTATGACTCAAAGTGGTAGAGTGCTAGCCTTGAGCAAAAGAGCTCAGGGACAGCGCTCAGGCCTGAGTTCAAGCCCCAAGACTGACCAAAAGAGTAGTTTCTTGGATACAAAATTATTATGCAAATATGGTGAATTAGTAAATTCATTTTGAATACTTCTAATTCAGCTAAATAGGATTGTCCTAGAAAATTAAGACAAAAACAGTAGAATTCAGTACTTCTCCAATGCATATATCTCTACAATTCTCTTTGCAGTGAAACCAACCTTAATCCACACAGACATGTATGTGAATAGCATTGGGCCAGTGAATGCAATCAATATGGTGAGTATCTTCATAAAACTATTTTTTGGCATATATAAAATGAGGAATATATAAAAAAATCATTTCAATTTTGGAAGGGAAAGATAAATCTTTTACCTCCATTTTCTCTTTTGCAATTTGAAGATAATTAAATTTTGAGGATTTTGAAATAAGAGCTGAATGTGATGGCACATAAAATAAAGCATGTGTAGTTATGATATATTGCCCCAATTCAGCAATTATTGTGCATTTTCCAAAGGATCATGGCCTAATGTGTTTCAAAGTAAGAAATGTTCCCAGGAAAAATAGTGCATTGGTGTTACAATATTTCATTTTTTCTGTACCATTTTCTATCCGAATCTGAGATGAGAAACTAGACTAAGTCCATAATACAAAAGAGTAAAGTGGAGTAAAAAGGAGCTGACTATGGTCAGCATACTATCACTATGATGTATCCTATATATGATAATGCATTGATGGTGCTGTTAACACTGTGATTTAAAGTGTTCACAAAACTAATAATAAAGACATTCTCCTAAGACAGAGAGAGAGATACAAGATAAAGATGTGTATCATTACCTGCATAATCATAATTGTTTGGCTTGTTTAAGTACTAACCACTCTAACATACTACATTCTTCGTATTCTGAAAAAAATGCCAATATAAAAAAAATACACTATAGACTGTAATGTAATTCTGTTCTTGCTGCTAGTTCATTCTTTATATTATTTGAATATCTGTATTATCTTTAAGTAGTTATACAAAGGAATTGCCATTCAACCAAGCAGTTTACAAATGCAGTGCATCTAGATCACAGTTAGAACTCTGTTTTAAGAGTATCAGTTCCCCAGAAATGTCACACGGTTTGGAAAATGCTGGTGTTCAGACATATATATATATATATATATATATATATATATATATATAATTTTTGTCAGTTGTGGGGCTTGAACTCTGGGCCTGGCCATTGTCCCTCAGCTCTTCAGCTCAAGGAGAGCACTCTACCACTTGAGCTACAGTGCCAATTTTGGTTTTCTGGTGGTTTATTGGAGATAGGAGTCTCATGGTCTCTCCTGCCTGGGCTGGCTTTGAACTGTGATCCTCAGATCTCAGCCTCCCAAGTGGCTAGGATTACAGGCATGAGCCACCGGCGCCTGGCTTAAATATTTTTTAATTGTGCTTGGTTTTGTTTTGGCCAAAATACATCTGAAATTATTTAATTAATTTTCTCCTGACCACCTTTGTTAACAACGATTTCACAATACATGTTTCCTTTCTGTATAATAAACTTCACACAAGAAACTGAATGATGAATGAGATGACGTAGCTTACCCTACTGGAAATGTACCCAGTTACAATGACACATGATAGTAAGTGGCTCTAGAAAGAATACAGAGCGTATTCAGGCAAGAGAAATAGTTCCCAAGTCTGTGAATTCTGGAGCAAATCAATACTCTCCTTGGTCCTTCGTATTTTTCAACATGAAATGGAGTTCAGGGTACTGGAATCAGAATGTGAATAACATTTGCTTGCAACTTTACAGAGAAGACTGGGTTATTATTATTATCATCATCCAATTTGTAGAGCTGACCAAAGCCAAATAAAATAAGGCACAATTAGGGATAGTTATTTGGAATCATTCAGATAGCAAATAATTTAACTTGCTGTTTATTATACTAGTTGATCCTTTCTATACTACTCAGATAGGTGATTTCTCTCTCTCTCTCTCTCTCTCTCTTTTCTTATGGGGCTTGAACTCTGGGCCTGGGCACTGTCCCTCAGCTCTTCGGCTCAAGGCTAGCACTCTACCTCTTGAGCCACAGCACCATTTCCAGTTTTCTAGTGGTTAATTGGAGATAAGAGGCTCACAGACTTTCTTGCCTGGGCTGGTTTTGAACCGTGATCCTCAGATCTCAGCTTCCTGATGACAGGATGACAGGCGTGAGCCACTGGTGCCCGGCTCACACAGGTGCTTTCTTAACTGAGATGATGCATGGAAAATGTTTGGCCAGAGGACCAGCTGAAAATAAGTATTTGTAAATAATACAAGAAAAATAAAATAATAATAGCTAGCCTTTTGATGAACTACTGTGATGATGATGATGATGATGATGATGATGGTGATGATGATGATAATGAAGCATTATATAAATCTGGAAGTAGCTAAGTATGTGTTTGGGTTCACTGTTTGTAGATAAAGAAAAGAAAAGTCCATAAAGGGTAGACACTTTCTCCAAGTCTATTTCCAAATAAGATAGTCACCCTGGAACCCTAGAGTCCTGACTCCACACCTTGTGGTCCAAAGTTCACCCTTCATTTGCTTTTCTATGACCAAAGTCAGCTGTTATCTAGTTTACTACTGAGGCTGGAGGGAAATCTTTGCGTTCATTGGTCATTATAAAGAGCATGCTTTGTGATAGAGATTAGTACAGCACTAGGAATTCTATTTTATTGGTTAATTTCATCCTAGTTAGAGAAAGAGCAACAGTAAATCACCTGAAAACCTGCAAAGTACTTTTTGCTGGGAGCTTGCTCTTTGCTGGATGTGGTGCAATTTATGTGTCTTCTCTTTTCTTTCTTCACCTGACCTAACCGGCTAAGTTCTTTAGAGACCCCATTTTATTGTGTGGAAACTGAATTTCTGCTCTCCAGCTTGCAGCTCTTCTGAGGATTCTGAGCTTCATACCTGACCCTGTAACAGGGGCTCTAGGCCTGGGAAACTGGCTTCCTTAGGAGACAGCGCTGTCTGAAAGCCATTTCAGGGGTCAGGCCCGCCAGAGGGTAGAGGAGAGGCAGGAGGGCTGTTACTTTAGCAAGTGGGAAGTAGGAATGAAGACTACTGCTAACCAGTCTGCAAGGACTGTGCTCTACAGCAAAAGAATGAGCCAGCCCACAGCATGCTAACGCACTGCAGTTCATCAGGCTGGGATGATGAAGGCGAAGGATCGCATCAGGGACACCATCTTTAGTCAGAAGCCATTTCAACATGTCTTAGTTTTCCATAAAACACCAAGCTGGTCGAGAAAAAAAGTGTTTAGAGATACAGCTTCATCAGTAAAATGTTGCTTCCTTTCAGATGATTCAGAGCCAAAATAGCTTCATCTCACCCTGGCAAATAAGCACAAGACTGAGATAGAAAACTACTCTACGGTGTACTATTATTGTATTAAAGACGCTCTGTCTTATCTTTTCCCTTTTAAAACAGGAATATACAATTGATATATTTTTTGCCCAAACATGGTACGACAGGCGCTTGAAATTTAACAGCACCATCAAAGTCCTCCGACTGAACAGCAACATGGTGGGGAAGATCTGGATCCCAGACACCTTCTTCCGAAACTCAAAAAAAGCCGATGCGCACTGGATCACCACTCCCAACAGGATGCTGAGGATCTGGAACGACGGCCGAGTGCTCTACACCCTGCGGTAATCCCCACCCGACACCCTCGGCCTGGGACTCGGGGCTCCCCAACTTGCTAGGCTGGTGCTGCTCTACCACCTGAGCTATGTCCTAAGTTCCTTTCCTTTAGTACTTACAAAACAAACAAACAATGGTGTCTCAGGTTTTTGTTTAGGCCAACCTGGGCCACAAGCTTCCTATTTCTACCTCGTGTGTAGAGGGCATCCTCTTGTATAAAGGGAGTGTGGACACATAATATCACACCCAGCTTACTGAGAGGTGGAATCTTGGTAGCAGCCTGGGCTGGTCTAGAACTGTGATCAACCCAATCTCTAATCTCTCAAATTGTTGGGATTACAGATGTGAAGCGCTATTCTTGATCTCTATCTTGTATCTTCTGAATTTATTATTACTGTTGTTATATTATTCCTATTACTATTATTGGTGCCAGTTCTGGTTCTTAAATTCAAGGTCCAGGCACTGTCCCTGGGCTTTTTTTGGTCAAGGCTGGAGCTTTTCCACTTGAGCCATAGCTCCACTTCTGGATTTTTTTTTTGCTAATAAGTTGGAAATAAAAGTTTCACAGACTTCCCTGCCCATGATGGCTTTTAACTATGATCCTCGAATCCCAGATTTCTGAGTAGCTAGGATTACAGGCATGAGCCACTGGAGCCTGGTGTTCTGAACCTAAATATTAAGTAACACTAGGAAGTTTTCTATTTAAATTAGTTGCTGTCATTATCTTGACCCACTTCACACTGGTACATTTTTACATCGAAGTTCATGCGAGAGTATGGTCAAGGAGCATTAGTCGATGGGGAACAGACAGATCCGGTTCGAGTTCTGTGCTGCCCATCTTACTGTCTATGTTCATGTACACTGTACATTGTTTATGTTCCGTGCTGTCTTACTGTCTGTATGAACTGGAGAAGCTCTCCAGAATATTTTCTTCTGCAGCAGGTTGAGAGAAGATGAATGACCCGGGCTGTGGTTCTCGGAGGTACTTCCCAGCTTCATTTATAGCATACACAATGTTCTTGCTTGGTTAATTTTATCGGATTAACTGAGAACTCATGGAAATTGCAGGGATAGAAGGCACGCCCTGCACTGTGATGCTTTTCTCCATTTCTCCCATTACAACTGCACAAGCCCTTGCTCTTCCAAACTGCACGAATGTGGGTCTTTCTTTACAGAGCTGATCTTTATGGCGTGGTAGATATTAATGTTACCTGGGCATGCGTTCATGATACGATTCCTCTAGATTTTAGCATCCTAGAACTTGATTTGTATAGTAGGCACTAGTGACCTATTTGATGTCTTAGGTAACATGTAAAATATAGTTCTTTAAAATGGCCCCCAGACTCTTATCAGAGTTAGGTCAGTTAATTGGAAAAATGGCTACAATTGCAAAAGAAATTCATTGCATTTATTTTATATCCACCATGGGTTTCTTATTAGAGATAAGGTAATGAATGGAATTAGAACAGGGCACCTAAGCCTATCTGATTATCAGAGCTTAGAGTGGCTTTAGAAATGTGAAGTCAATCACCCTATCATGTCCCTTTATTGTTCTCATAACATCGTAGTCAATTTTTATTTCTATTAATTTGAGAAATTGCTACAATATTTAATTATAGAAGCCACCTCAAAAACATCACTCATGATCATCAATTAAGGCCTGAGTCAGATCCAGTCTATAGATAGCCACAATTTCTTTTTGGAAGCTTATTTGTAGTGAGTGGGAAGTGTGTGTGTCTGTGTGTGTAGGCTTGTGTCTGTGCTTGTGTCTACAGTCAGTCCATATTATTGTCAACTTTAATAGCTCCAGTATAATTTGGAGAGATAATACAAATAAACTCAGATTTAATTATAATTTAATTTATGAGTGAAACTAGTTTTTCCTTTCGAAGGCATGTAAATACAGAGTAATGATGATTCAAACCTTCAGCTTTGGAGACTGAAAAACCCAGGTCTGAATCCCAACTGTGCCAGGCATTCTAGGATTTTGGGCAATTTCAAGTACAATAAAGCCATGAAAACATTACTAAATGAGGAAACAATTCACTTTATCCAGAACTTCACAAACAATGATATATTCCAAGATCAGTAATTGCTCTATTATATCACAGAACAATAATATATACCCAATTAAAAGGCATTCTAATTGGGAACTCTTTTAAATTAAATTTTCATAAAGCAGCATTTTATTACTTGAACAGTGATTTCTATTTTCCTTAAGAATCCACATGAAAGTTTTTAAAATGTCCAATTCATCACCATTAAAATTTAGAATTAAGCCTGGTGCTGGTGGCTCACGCCTATAATCCTAGCTACTCAGGAGGCTGAGATCTGAGGATCACAGTTCAAGGCCAACCTGGACAGGAGAGTCTGGGAGACTCTTATCTCCAATAAACCACCAGAAAACCAGAAGTGCTGCTGTAGCTCAAGTGGTAGAGAGCCAGCCTTGAGCTGAAGTACTCAGGGACAGTACCCAGGCCCACAGATCAAGCCCCATGACTGGACAAAAAAAAAAAAAAAGGAATTATATTCATACTTCTTTAAAAGTGGTCAAAATATCTGAACCCCTTTATATTTTCTCCTTCCTGGACTCAACACCTGTATTTTTAAGTAAACAGTTCCTACACAAACTGGGACTCACTAGCAAACATTTTTCTGGCCTCTCGGTGATGTGTTTTTAACATTTCTTGGGTGCCATTAGACATCTCTCTACTCCGTAGCATCCTAATAAATTATTTCACAGTGTTCCATTGAAAAATTACATAAAACTCTATTGTGCCATGTGGGTATTTTAAAATTTACCTAATGTAATTTAGAACTAACAACTTACAAGCATGAAGTTCTGCTCTAATTACCAGATGAGATGTGAGAATTGCTACCACTCATTTACAGACCCACAATAAATAAACTGAAGTTCCTAAGACAGTTTGTCCTGTTAAGTGAAAATGTATACTGAGCAATCTCAGGTAGGCAGTTAATTTTGCAAAGAATTCTAAAAGCAAGCCCTTAACTAATTACAAATTCTGAATAAACAGAGTTCACATGAATGAGATGCTACTACCTGGGGTATGAGAGTGAGTAATATTAGATTTAGTATTAAAATATTTGTCTGGGTTTTGTGGATCTTAGGGGAGCCTTATTCAGTACTATCAAGCCAAATATGAGATATGCTCAAGAAAACATGATGATGCTTATTTTAGAAATTTTACTTAAAACCGCCCTATTTATTTATTATTTATTTATTAGTAGTACTAGGTTTTGAACTCAGGGCCTTGTGCTTGCCAGGCAGATACCCTACCATTCGGCCATGCCTCCAGTCCTAAAATCATTCTATTTATATTGCATGCCTCTCCAATCAGGCTGACGATTGATGCTGAATGCCAGCTGCAGCTGCACAACTTTCCAATGGATGAACACTCCTGCCCCCTGGAGTTCTCCAGCTGTAAGTAATTTTCCACTGTTTATCACTGTCACCTATGATCTTTGGGATTTTATCTGTCCATCAGATGATCGATCTAGTGTATTAATAAATCAGATAACTGACGGGCACTTTAGGAAGTGGTATATGGCTATATGATTAACCTTAAAACTCGAGTCCCTTTCATCCTAATTCTAACTTGTAGCAGTAGGGTAACTCCTGCAGAAACAAACAGGTATGTTTCGTCAGGAATTACAAATAGTTTTCATTCACCTGGGGCAGCTCCCTCGATGCAGATGGGTTGTAGAGACTGACCCGGACTCAGCAGAAAGGGTAGAAAGACTGACACAATTGCTCAATAAAAGCATGAGTTCTAATTAATCACTGTCAAATAATAAAATATACCAATACGATACATTGAATTTTAATACAAATTGAGTTCTAGTAATCTAAAGGGCATCTAGGAACAGATACCAGAACCCAAAGAACCTAGCCTCATTTCCCCAAATGTTTGCCTTACTGTTTGTTTACCATCCATGTTAGGTAACTTATTTCCTCCTAAGTTTGGCCTGACAATTGTATTAGGCAGACTGAAAAATTGACCATAGATTTAAACTTGTATGTTAGAAACCTAATTTCCTAGTAAGGGAATCAGGGAGATCCTTAAGATCACAACCATAATAAATTAAAAAGCATTGAGCAGACTTACAAATGTGATCCCTTTATACAACTCCCTCATAATAACAAAATTCAAAAAGAAATCACGGATCCAGGGAAGCTGTCATTGTTCATTACTGCATCAATACTAAGATGTAAAAACATACATATATTTAGAAACATTTCCATTATAAATCTTATTTCATGGCTGTCCCATCCAGAAATGCATTTAAATGGCAAATGTAATGATTCTTTGATATTTAGAAATATTAACCTTCATGAAGTCTTTGAACTTTTCCCAAGTGAGACTACTATCCTGAGTTAGCAAAGACTCACACTGATAATATCTGGGCCACTAGGTTGCTACTAATTGCTATTTTAAAGAAAAGAAGTCAATTACCAGTCCATTATTTAAACTTTAAATAAAGTTCTGTGATACCATTTTTATTTCCCTAAGTTTTCAAAGAACCCTGCCAGAATCTTCAATAGTTTTCTCTGTATAATCTTTCATTTTTCTATCATTAATTAACAAGTATATAATAGATATTGTTGGACAACCGATTAAATAAAAGAAAGGAAGAAACACACAGAATTTTATTCTAAGTAGTCAATTACACTTCCTCACTAGGGCTATCTTTTCATAACATTAATAATAGACAAATACTTGAGGCAATTCTAAGTTTTGTAGTGCTGAGGATTGAACCCAGGGACTTGTGCATGCTAAGCAATTATGCCACCACTGAACTACATTCCAAGTTCTACTTTCTAATTTTAATGTTCTTGATAAGGTTAATTAATTAAGGTTAGCTTAATAATAATGTGTATCCATTCAAGTAATAGACATTGAGCATCAATTATATGAGATAAGCACTATATTAATCAACATAAGTCAATAACTTACAGGGATTTTTTTTTCTCCTAAGGTATTACGGCTAGGAAAATTGTACTTATAACCATTACATAGTCCTGCCTCTGAGTATATTTCCTTTGTCATGAAAATTTTCTATTTTCCTGATATGAAACCCACTGGTAGCTTCTTAACATTTTATTTATTGCTTTTATCTACTCACGTCTATGTATGAGAAAATGGATTCCATACAAATCGATATGCAAACACGAGAACAGCTGTTTTCTTTTAGCTGCCCGAGTGACTATTCTTCACCATGAAACATAAATCTGGAATGCTTATTATATACTGATCACTCTCATGCCTTACATCAGATGATGGAAGGTCTGGACAGAGCATACAGGAAGTCATTTGTAGTTTGTCTTTCCTGCAATTTCAAGGGTAATTCTCACCTTTGCCAGTAGGTTGAACTATCGTTGCATCTATTCTCCCTTCTACAACTGTCTTGCGGTTTAGGGTGATTATCTACCGCATACCGAGGCCTGTGTGTTAACATTGTTGTCTTGCTCATGTCGGGTGACTTGAGGACATTTCTAATGTGAGTTTATCTCACGGTAGATGGCTACCCACGTGAAGAGATTGTCTATCAATGGAAGCGCAGTTCTGTGGAAGTGGGTGACACAAGATCCTGGAGACTTTACCAATTTTCATTTGTTGGGCTGAGAAACACCACGGAAGTGGTGAAGACAACTTCTGGTAAGATACACTGGAAAAGACTTTTAAATGGCCCTTCCTTCTAAAGTTAAAACTCTGCAATACATGATTTGGCAGGTTTTGCAGCATCTGTTTACAAATACTATTTCAGGAAATTAATGAAGTCTTTTACTATCCACAGAGAAAATCATAATTGGGATTCTGGTGGCATAAATATAAATGAATTCTATCAATCTGAAGCAAATTGGATTGAAACTGGATTAGTAAATCATTTACTAATTTCTTTTAGCAAACATTAAATGGCAATTAATTTTAAACGTGAAATATTTATTGCGAATAAGTTTATTGTTTCTTTTAGAGAATAGAAATGCTAACATATTGAACCAGTATTTGAAGCGATCACGTAGAGGCAACGTGAATTCCATGAGTAAATGAAAATGACAGTAGCAGGTCTGGACTCTCTCTCCTTCCAATGGCTGAATGTGGCTAAGAGAGCAGGCTTTGGGTATTGGAAAGGGCTGGGTTCAAACTCTGATTCCATCAGCTATCAGATACTGAGTCTAAGAGGATCAGCTTCCCAAATACCTAATGTGAATAAAAAGCAATCCCAGGGATTGGGCATATGTGCTTTAACACACAAAGAGTAATTTTTTAAAGTGATACTCATACTTAGCAAACAATGAACAGTGCACACTGATGATAATCTTCAGGACTGTATAAGTCTTACCGTGGTCAGGATATCAGCTTTTCAAGAGAAGCTGAAAGGTAATACTTTTATATGTGAAATCGCATGAGTTTTAGAGATTCTTATTTACTTAACACCTCAAGGGGGAAAGCTAGACATATTTCTAGACCAAGCTTGCTCACATGTGCCCAATTTTAACCTTTATAAACCTGAGTACTCCTTCTAAAATTATATAGACCAAAATGAGTCCCAATTTCAAAGATCTGTTAAGATATTTGCTAAATATAAATACATTTCATATAAATATCTATTGATATAAGCATATTTCAAATGATGTATCTACTAAGACATTACATTTGAAATACATTTCTATGAGATTAGTTTAATCACACATACCTGATATTTTTAGAAATTATTTCTCTACTGTATTTTTGTTTGCGATAATTTGGACTATGCCTTGATTTTGTTGTTGTTGTTGTTGGTCATGGGGCTTGTACTCTGGGCCTGATTGCTGTCTCTGAGCTCTTCAGCTCAAGACTAGGACTCTCACCTTTATCTTCTGTACAGAAAGAAAATTAAGGACCTTCACAAAGATGACAATTTAAGAATCTGCCTTCACAAACATCATTCTCTAAATCATATCTGATAACTAATATTATTTTCAGCATTTCAAGTTTCCCTTATTTTTTGAGACTCCCCTATTTGCAAAAAGAAACAGAAAGAAGGTCAAAGGAATACTTGAGTATGTTTTTTTTAAAGATTGCCTTCGTTCCTTTATTCACAGGAAATCCTAATCATCTAGAACAGTTTTTCATTTAGTTCACAGGGGAAAAAAAAAATCAAAGTTCAGGATTGCCTTATCACTAAAACCTTCCATTTGCAAAAGGAAGAAGATGGGTAAAAATAATCTCCGGTTCTGTATGTCTCCAGAGGGGGAAGCTGGGCATGAAGTTCTGCTGTATGTTCACAGTTCTATAATTATTCTGCTCCCCTAAAAAGGAAACCACAAACTCATGACTGGCAGAATTTCTGGTTAGTCATTGGGAGCCTAGAGTGGTATAAAGACCCAGTGTTGGCAGCAGAAGGATAGACATCGCATATTAGGGACAGATGGCACCTCAGCTTTGTCCCCCTCTACATGTGGTTATGGTTGACACTTCTTCTGACTATTGGGAAGGGCGAGACTTCCAGGAGAAAATGATCCCTTACATTAAGCAAGGCAAGGACAATTATCAAGGTCATATAGGGCAAATCATCAAATTACAGCAAAAATTATTTTCAGCACAAGTATCTTGTCAGGTTCTAGACTTCAAACAGATTAGCTTCATTTGGTTGAACCATCAACTGCTTTGTGAATTTTGATGTTGTGTCTGGCTTAGCATTCAGCCTTTCTTTTCACTCCTTGTTTTGTTGGTTAGCCTTTGAAAGTGTTCAATACTATTCCAGTGGCCTCTATGAGAAGAAAGGTGGAACTGAAAACTGGCAACAATACTGACAGTCTAATTATTGGGTTGATGGATTTTATCTTTTAAGGTTTCTGTTTCTGACCTGGTGATCTTTGAGGCAGAGCTCAGTAAGACTTCAATTTATATTAGATACATTTCTTGTGCAATTAGCAGAAGGTCAAATCATTATCCCATTGAATCTTAGTCATTATATTATGGTTAAGTTAGACATAACGCAGACTGTGTACTAGACAGGACTATTGGGCATAATGTGACAAAGATGCAGCCAGAGTTCACTTCCCTCATGTGGTCAGGCTTTAATCAATCAAAGAGGGGACTCTCTTTCCAGGTCCATCTTGCTCACAAAAATCTAGGGTGACTGAACTGACTGTAATGTGCCAAGAAACCAAAGAAAGTGCTAGAAGGATCTAGAATGACAGAGGGATATGTATTAGGGATTTGACGATAAAAGCTTGGTCAAGAGCCATGGCAGAGTTCACAGCTCCCCACAGTCTGAGTCTGAGGAAAGGTTTTATAGGATGGTCAGGACAAGCTGATTTTATATAAGCTAGAATGCACCCAGTTTATTGTAAGCGGGTGTGAAGAATGTCAGGGTAGTCCTGGAGTTGATGGCACCTGGTCCAGTAGTACTGCTTCTCTCATGTACCATTCAAATAAGGTTGTTTATTTAGAATATGCTAGAAAACTGTGCAGGGAAAGCAGGTCAGGATTATGCGGCGGCAGCCACACAGTTGGCGCTACGGTGGCTTTGGTCATGGGGAAAGCATCACTCAGGGTCGAGCTGGGTCCCTGCACTCAGTATTTTTATTTGTGTTTAAGCTGATTTACTGCTTTCAAGAAAATGAAATTTCTTTCTTTGCTTTTTTAGAATTAAGACCATAAGTATATAAAATAATTAGGAACGTAAGAACAAATGACCAGATGTTGATATAAATTATGATAAAAAACAAAATAACAAGTGTTCTTACCCCCTACTATAGATGTTGGTATTTCCCTGAATCTGAGTGTGTTACAAAGAGAAAAGAGAGATCAGAGATGAGAGCACCGTACGGGAAGCATCCACCTAGAATATTCTCTCCAATGCAAACAGGCAGGAGGCACGTACTCCTGAGGCGGCCAGTCAGTGCTCATCGGCCGGCCTTCCTTCATTGCCTGAATCATCTCCATTACCACCTTCTCTGTGCCACATGTGAGACTAAGTAGATTGCGAGGACTTGAGGACCGCCCTTAACTCAGAATCAATACATTACAACAAGTTCTGGAATCTTGATTTCTAAACTATTCTCCTATTCTCTCTCTCTCTCTCTCTCTCTTTCTTCTCATCTCTCCCTTCCCCTCCTCTTTCCTTCTCCCCCTCCTCTCACCCTTTCTCTCTGTGTCTGTGTCTGTGTTCTGTATCTGGCAGAAACGCCACCATTGCTCCTTTGAGCCAGGCGTGAACCTCAGAGTCATGCCTCTGCCTCCCACATCTAATGAATCATGAAGGCACTTATGCCTCTGAAAAATCTTGTGTAACTGTCCTCTTTCCAGTTGCCTTTGCCACTGTCCTAGTTCACCAACGTGTCTGTTCTTATCTGAGCGATGTGGGTAGCTTGGGAAGCAATGTCCCTGCTGTTAGTCTCCCTCTCTCCCACGATCCATGCCTTACACATGAGTCACAAAAGCTAACACTTACTGGGCTCTAGTACATGCAACGTAAAACACTTCGTGCAAAGGGCTTACATTAATTCTCCAAACCACCGTCATACCTAGAAATGTCCGCACCAATGGCTTCGTGCTCATGAGGAAGCGGAAGTAAGCACAAGGCCATCAGGTCAGGCGGTCCGCACCCAGGCCCAGACCCTGACCCACTGAATTCACTCCTGAACAACCGAGTTCCTGGTGTGCAGCTTTCATCATGGGTCAAGAAGCCAACAGGTTTGGTTAAGTGCAAATTGTTATTTCTACTGTGTCAGAATCTGATTTTATCAATGACAGCTCCCCCAGCCATGGCTTTTAAGCATAAAGAGTTGAGTCTTTCTGTTCATACTACATAGCCAATTCATCAAATTCTCTCTCTCATATTCTGTATCGAGCAGAGCTATGTGTTCTCCCAAGTTGTCACCCTGAGATGTGGGCTAGAAAAGTGAGCAAGTGAATTTCCCAAAGGTGGTTGCACGATTGGGATCCAAAGCCATCACAAAGGAACTAGAAGAAGCATGTCATGTTCCTTCCATAATGGCGTGCCTGTAAAACTTCCATCGGGCATTTGAGCCTGCAGCTAACCCCTCTGTGTCTCCTGGCACCAGACTTTTGTCACAGGCGTGCACATCGGCATCATTTACTGCCTTAGTTGTGTTGTCCTATCTTTTTGCTTAGATTTCACATGCTAGTTTTAACTTTCCAAAGGCTAAGTGAGACACGGATATAAGAATAAAATATCTGTCCCACTTAAATTCTTATTCCTTCCTCCCTGTGATACATAGACTACAATTTAGAAACATTGGCTGTGGCTGAGGTTCATGTTTATTGACTGCTTTCTAAAATATCCACTGTCTAGTCTTGATTTTCAGATAGCTTTGCCCTCTTCCCATGACACTAGTCCCTTTCCTGAAATTTCCTAAGTAGCCTGTCCCTACTTCAGCCGTTCTGCTTATTCTGACTTCATTATTTAATACCAAGCACAAGCCCAACCTTCTGGGCCAACACCCAACTTCTATTTACAAGTGTGATAATACTCTCAACAGAGAATAGTTCCCACTTTTTACACTGTTTTAAGTGTTTTGAAACTAAGGAGATATTCATGAAGCTACTTATTGAGATGAGCTGTTTTGAGGGGAGAAATCAAATACAAAAATTAAGCCAGTGGATTTTTTTTTTATTGAAGAAGTTGAAAGATGAGAAAACTAAGA